CTAAGGTCAGTTGGTGCTTAATGACCCCTTAGCTGCCCCATATTTTCCTTGTTCCACCACAAGGGATATCGGTACAAACTAAAGTGCCAAACCAATGTAGCTACTGCTTCAATCGTATCGGTCTACACCGTACAGTTCCCTCACAGTCTATTGCTACTTATCTAAAAGGTATCTCCAGATCCGGGTTAGGATCTATAGTAACTCCGATTCAAACCCACAAAGATAAAGCATACAAATCAAGCAATTGAAAACATTATGATGAACTAATCCTAAGGTACACCCCACTTATTAATTCCCCAGCAGAGTCGCCAGTTCTGTGATACGGTGGCCAGAACCAGGATCATGTTTCCCTATTTCATTAAGGAAATTTGCTGGTTTGTGTTTTGCGTTTATTTTTGCAAAATGTCGCGGTAAGCAAGAGTCGCCACCGTCTTTTATTTTATCCAACAAGGAAAGGAAAAAAGCACAGAAAAATTCCTTTTTCGAGATATTTCTGAGTACGGGGGGTAGATTATAAAAAGGGAAGGTATTAGCACCCTTTCTATCCGTAGTTATCTACGGGCTCTTAGGTACTTGCTCATCATTTTCAAAATTGTTTTCTTTGTGCTTATGGGTTTTGAAAAGTTTTTGTTTTCACTTCGATTTAACTCTTGCGTTTGTCTTCAAGAGTGTAATGAAGTGTTTTTGAAAACTTGTTCGTAAAAGGAGTGTAAGTGTGAAAAAGTTTTGTTTTTGGATGAGCAAGTATATAAGAACTAATCTACCTACTCGAAAAAGGAATCATTATATGCTTGTTTACTTTAGACAATGCTATCCCACTATTAGTGAGTAGGTAGCACCGTCGTTGGAGTTTGAGGGTCAATTCAAAAGAGGGACATACGGTCACTAAAGCAATATTAGAATGTCTTAGCAGTAACCCTAATGTCTTAGATCATTTGTTCGAGGCAACAATATCCGAGGCAACCATTTCGAGGCAACTATGATCTTTTAGACAAGAGGGCGACCTCTAAAACAACCTATACTTAATGACCGTTTACAAAGGCAACCAAGTGGAGTGTACCCTAGGAGTGCGCATGTGCGGGTGTGTTGATTTCAGTTATTTTTATCTTTGCACATGTTTAGGGTGATCTAACTGTTTTAAAATTAAGCATTCATTCTTGTCATGCAAACCCTATTATCAAACATCTAACAGTTGGATATTTGCAGAAATTAAACTAAATTATTACAAGGCGTCAGGTATTTACATCGCCAAAGACAAACCCTTTGAAATTTAAAAGCGGAAAAATAAATAAATGTCCTAATTAATTATTACAAACCGGGAGCAGATACAATAATTTGGATAAAGAAATACAGTGTGCGAGACAATTGGATCGAACGCGAAACTAGGGTTTTGACCCTCCTAATTAAAAGAAAATATTTTTTGTTGTTTTTATTATTTAGAAAAGAAATTAAGTCCTAAAATTAAATGCTAAATTAATTATTAAATAAATTAATTAATGAAAAATATTAAATGACATATTTTTGGAGTTTTTGTTATTTTAGGAAAGAAAAGTAAAATAATTAAATTAAGGTTAAAACCTAATTATTCTAATTGATTTTTAACTATTTACAAAATAGATGAAAGTTACCTAATTAATCAACCTAATTATTTTAATTGATTTATTGATTAAAAATAAATTTCTGAAATTTAATTAGGTAAAAATATTTTTTGTGATTTTTTTGATAAAAAAGAAAATTGTTTATTGGTTAGTAATTAAATTTAATAAAATAAAACAATTAAATAAAATAAACAAAATATAAAAAAGGAGTGAGATGGGCCTTATTTTTGAGGGTGTGCATAGCAATTATTCTGGCCCATTTGTGAGGTCCATTGGACTTTTGTAATCCCATGCGTTTGCGTTGAATTGGCCTAGGGTGTGCCTTCAGTGATGGCCACCAGATCTGGCCATCTGGTGTGTTCGATGGTGAATGTCCATGATGGATCTCCTGGCCACACTTGTACTAAATTACCTGAAAAAAATATTATAGAGAAAATAGGGGGACCTGGGATTCGAACCCAGGTCCTGAGGGGAAATCCATGCCACGCTTGCCACTACACCACTTGCTTCTTATTGTTAATATAATATAAACTAAATATAATTTATAAAACAAAAGAAAATTGGAAAAATTAAATAAAAACGCGCGCTCGTTTGAATGGACGAATAGTGGGGTGACAACTCATCGTCCCCTTCCTCCCTCCGTAGCTAAAAACCTGCAACACCTATACCCACAGACAAATGTTCGTCGCTACAAACTCGCCCACTCTCAAAATCTTGTACAGGCCATCTGAATGAATTCTAGGACCATGGTTAGACTCATCATCTTCTTATGATCACCACCATAGCCATTATGAAGGCTAATTGTACCTGAAAACAAAAGTCCTAAAAAACTCCAAGAAAACCTAAACATGGTGATTCATGGCATAGGTCATATAAATGCAATTGAATAATACCAAAATCTTGCAAATGATTTGTAGATTAAAAATATGCCATCAATTCATGTCAACAATGCCTAAATTTCAAAATACTAATTCAAGAACAGGGCGAGTTCGTGAGTGACTTACAGCGTATTTTGGGATTGGAATGGACCGGTTCTGAGTTGCTTTAGCTTCTAGAGAATGCCAGGAGGCGATTGAGACAAGTAACAGGCCTTGAGGATGCCTCTAACCTCTATTTCGATCTCACGCTTTTTTCCTTTTTTTTTCAAATTTTGTTCTCCCTCTATGCCTGATCTCCAACCCTCTTTTTGATATGCCTCGCCTCCTTATGTATTGTACAATGCATTAGGGTTGCAAATTATGTCCAAATCCCTCTCCATCAATGATTTTGATATTGATTTGATTTGCTTCTTTAAAGCTTTCCAAAATTGGATTATTTTGAATCTTTTTGTACACAATTGCCTTGATACGAGTTTGATTAGTCCTAGTTGTGTAATAAGACCTGCAATCATCACCAAATCCTTGGTTTCAATGTTTTTGGATTTTATTTGATTTAATTTGATTTAAATTGAATTGAATTAATTCAAATAAAAACCAAATTAAATAATAAAAATATGATATGGACACATGGCCAAGGCTAGAGCACGTGGGCTATGATGCCAACTCAAAACAAGTGAAAAATAATGGGCCCATTTGGCAAAATTTGAAGTTTTGGGCATAGTTGACTTTTGGCAATTTTGCAAAAAAGTCCAACTTCAACAATGCATAACATCCTCAATTTTGACTATTTGGAGGTGTTCTTGGACTTTTTAGAAAGCTTGATATGTACTCTAACCAAACCGTCTGGTCTCATTTCATTTTGATATTCCATGCTCATGTATGAATCTTTGACAAAAAAAGGTATTTTTGTTGGCTTTTCAAAATGACCTATAATGTCCAAATTCATAACTTCTTTTGAGTGCATATTTTGATCTTGTGAGATGAATATGGTTTGTAGGGAATTCCATTATCTTTAAAATTAGCTTTGGATGGGTCATTTCGCATAAAGTATGATAAAGTTATGCTTGGTCAAAGTTGAGTTGACTTTTCCTGCAAAACCCTAATTTAGCAACTTTTGAGTCTTGATGAATTATGAGAAATCCTTGATGAATCATGATCAACCCTTTATCAAATGATGAAATACACTTTAAAATAAGGATGTAGGTCACAATTGACTTTTGCCCTAGCACTGTCGATTTTTGGACCTTTGAGCAATTGACTGAGCAAAATTCCTCTGCAAGGCTTGAAACTTGACATGGATGATCTTGAGAACATATAAGGACATTGGTGAGCATTTGTGACCACTTGGACTCAAGGATCTTGATGCAACATGAAACCCTAATTTGGGGTAGACTGCCTTAGGAGAGAGCTTGTCTGGCCAACCCTTGGGCTACTTTGAGCAACTTGGGGATCTTTCTTGAAATGTTTTGAGAAATATGAGAGGGAAAATTTTGGGGTACAACAATTAGAAAGAGGCATTGACCAACATGAGGTAGTTGTTCCTATAAGACTAATTTTACTAATTCAAAGTAGTGAATTTCCTTTCTTTGGCTGGATGCCCTACATATGTAAGTGTGGTTTGCACTGAACTGGGTTAGCAATTATTGTGTTATTTATTGCTTTTCTAATTCATCATCTTGTATACATTAAATTTTTAATCTTGGTAGTAAACTAGTTTTTATTATATACAATATGCTAGACATCGACTCTGACATATGTCCCCATAATCCGTCCTCTGTTATAAACTAGTTGTATAAGTTGTACCATGCATCAAGTCCAACATTTGTCCTCTTGAGAATAAAATTTCAATTGGCATCAGAGAAGACACTCATTTATGTATGAATGAGTTCTAGGATTCTTATTATATTCAAGATGGATAATTTCAATGAAGAAGGAGCAGTTCAACAACCAAATATTTATGGTATTAAGAATCCTCCAGAGAATAGAGCCAAAGAGAATTATGAAGATTGTGAATACTAAGTAGATTATGTTTCTGAAGGAAAACTCATACTTGCTAAGATCTTTAGTAAAGTTATGTGAAATAATGTCCCTACCAATGTCAAGAACATTCAGCATAAAGAAAAAGATGATGAAATACAAAATCTCAATTATTCTTAGAGGTGCAAAGGGATCCAATGTCTTAAATACAAAGGTTTTGGACATGTTCAAGCTGATTGCTCAAGTGTTTCAAGGAAACAAATAAAAATATACCATAAGATAGATGAAGAATGGGGATTTAATCAAGATAAAAATGTTGTGACTTTAAAAGACATGAAAGATGTTATACATATTGGTGAGCCTTCAAATTCAAAGAGAAGGTGTATTAATCCTTTTTCGAAAACAAAATGCAGAATCTCAGGTAACATGTCTCAAAATCTGGTCAAACGGGATTACTAGTGCATTGGTTTTGTCTCCTACATTCCGTTGTACTATTGTAAGTTGTATAGTAGTAAATCACTCCATCAACATATGTATCATCAATGGAATGAGAAGTCTCAAAGGAATCATCAAGTTTGGCATGGAAAGCCTAATATTCTTGTCCATATTGCTTTCTCATCCCATAAGGTATTTTCTTGTGAAGATTGTTACTTTGAAAGTAGCCGCAATAGACTGTTGATATGAGAAATAAACTATGCTACATTTTGTGATAGCCATAAGAGAAATAAATTTGTTAAGATGGAGATGGTTGCTGCCATGGTAGAGAAGAATATTGAAGATCATGTTTCAGACATCATGGAAGACATGTTCGAAACTGAAACTAAGCCATGGTATAGAAAGCTTAGGGGTTGTTGTAGAGAAAACTATCATATGTGTACTAATCTCAAAATTAAAGAAGGAAATATTCACGAAGTTTGTCATCTAGAGAAGCAAACTAAGATGTCATAAAAGATGTTTCAAAATCTTTCTCATGCTTTTGAATTACCACAAATGGACTTTATGAGACTCAAGCAAGAAGTTTTCATTAAAGGGAAGGTTGATGGTTAGGCTAGAGGTCCTCCCCAACACTGAACAATAATAGTTATTCAGAAGAAGAAAAAGCTAAATAAGCATAATGATTATGGCAGAATTCTTCATATTGGAGTTCCTTCTCATATCTCTGGAGTTTTGATCAATTAAAAATATGATGTTGTGTTGGTGAAGTTGATATTGGTGTTCCTCTAAGTTAGTTGAACCTTAGTCATGATATGTATGTTCCAGATATTTCTCTCCATAATATTCCACATGGTGGTAAGTATGATATGGATTCTGGTGGAAATGTGATTGACCCCCCTCTCATGCATGGGCCTATGAGAAATCATCATCTCACTCAAAAGTCTTTTGGTGAGAAGACCCGTGAAACCATTATGGGAAATTAATATATTAATAAATATGTGCCAAACATCTTCTTTGACATGTTGACATAGTCTCAAATTCATAAGTAGAATGATAATGTGACCCTTTAGAATAATTCTATGAGTAATGGTGATAATGTCCATGAAGATGTTAAAGATGATATTGTTGTAACCTATGTTGGTTTTGTTAATGAGACATTATGTGAATATGCGGTAAGTAATAGTAACGTATATATATTATCTACTGTGATACGGTGGGAGAAATGACTTGGAGTTTTGCGATTGTGTTTGCAAATGTTGCGGTTTAGCAAGAGTCGCCACCGACTTTTATTTTATCCAAAAAGGAAAGGTGAAAAAGCACAGGAAAGACCTTTAGAGATGTTTTTGAGTTCAGGGGGTAGATTATGAAAAGGGAAGGTATTAGCATCCTTTTCATCCATGGTTTTCCATGGGCTCTTTGTTAATCGCTAGATCACTTGCTTTTGTTTGAATGTGTGCTTGTGGTGTGGTTTTTGAAAGTATTTTGAAAATGTGACATTATAATGATTCTCGTTTCTATAAGAATGCGTACAAAGTTTTGTTTTGTAAATAGTTCAAAGAGGTGTAGAGTGTTTTTGAAAGTGATTTTGAAAAGGGTTTTCTTTGTAATGGCTCTCGTTTAAGAACGCATACAAAGTGTTATCTTTTGAAAATGTTTCAAAGTGAGAGTGTTGGTGTATAAATGTTTTTGTTGTGAGAAAGCGAGTAACTAAGAGCGAATCTACCTACTCATAAAGGTCTTAGATGTGCTTTTCCTCCTCCTTTAGATGTTGCTATGTCACTATTTATTTGGTAATAAGCCCCATCGTTGGATATGAAGGGACGACCATTGGGTCATCGTATGACCATGATAGCAATGTTGTGAGATGACTTAGCACTTTTCTTTAGGGACTAAGATCATTTCGAAAGGCAACTTTGATAGCGTTATTGAGGGACTATGATCTTATATTTTTGTTTGTGCTAAGACATCCCACATGCATAACATGGCCATTTTTAGGCAACAAGTTGAGTTAACCTTAAGGGTGCATGTGTGAGTAGTGTGTTTGATTTGCATGCATTTAATCTTTGGTTAGGGTTATCTGCTTGTTGATTTGATCTTGCCATACACACCTAATTACTATAAAGTATAAGGAAAATAGTAAATTGCGGAAAATGAAATTCTACGTGTGATCGGTGGAAATAGAACTGACTGTTTTTTAAGCTGGTTCGCGAAATGTCGCGGTAAGCAAGAGTCGCCACCGTCTTTTATGTTCTCCAACATGGAAAGGACAAAAGCACAACAAAATTCCTTATTCGAGATGTTTCTCGGTTCGGGAGGTAGATTTATAGAAAGGGAAGGTGTTAGCACCCTTTCTATCCCTGGGTTATCCACGGGCTCTTAGGTGCTTGCTCTTATGTTTTCAAAATTGTTTTCTTTTTAAATGTGTGTGGGTTTTTTGAAAAAAGTTTCGTTTGAAAAATTTCTAAGTAACTCTTGTATCTGTCCTCAAGAGTGTGTGAAAAATTTGTTTGAAAACTTTTAGAAAGTGTGAGTGCGAAAAGTTGTTTTGTTTGTTTGAAAAGAGCAAGTACCCATGAGATCTACCTACTCTAAGGAATTAGGCTGTGTAAGAGTCCTTTAGATAGTGCTATCCCACCATTGAGAGGTAGGTAGCACCGTCGTTGGAGGTATTCGGGTCAATTCGATGATTAGGGACAGTGTGGTCACCGAAGCAATAGTAGGACACCTTAGAAGTAACCCTGATGTCCTAGATCCTTTTTTATCCGAGGCAACTGTTTCGAGGCGACTGGATCTTTTAGACAGAAGGGCGACCTCTAAGACACCCTATACTAGATGACCACGTTCGAGGCAACCAGTGAGGCGTACCCTAAGAGTGGCATGTGCTTGTGTGTTGTTTTTCAGTTAATGTTTGTCTTGTACATGTTATTTGTGAGCTACAGATTGATTTTATTATTCATACATTCTTGCAGGCATAATTAACAGTTAGGAGTGCGGAAAATAAATTGCAGAAATGTAAATCTAGCTATTACAAGGCGCGGGTCTATACATCGCCAAAAAAACAAAAACCCGTTTTGGAAAATAAAGTGCGATAATTTAAATAAGGCGATAAAATCCTAATTAACTATTACATACTCTGCACAGATACATAAATATAATCAAAAGAAATTAAAGCGCGAAAGAAGATTGAATCGGGAACGTCCGGAGGGTTTTGACCCTTTTTAGAATTAAATTAAACATTAAACCTAATTAACTAATTGATTATTTAATTAAAGAAAAAAAATGTTTTTGTGTTTTTTATATTTTTAATGAAAATAAAATAAAAGGAATTAAAAATGTCAAAAGAAAAGCCTAAGTATAAATTAATTTTATTTATTGTGAAAAGATTAAAATTAAACCTAATTAAACAACTAAGTTAATTAATGTTAGAATTTATTTACAAAATAAGTTAACAAATAATAATAATATTAGTTTTTTTTATATTTTTTATGAAAAATCTTAATTATGTTAATTTTGGTGGTAATAATGATAATTAAAAAAATAATTAATAACTAAATTAGAAAATATAAAACAAAAAGAAAAAGAATGAACCAAGGGGGGTTTGGGCCAGATTGGAGGTGTTAGGCAGCAATTTCAGGCCCATTGATTGCCAAGCCTGTTTGACTTTGGGGAGTTGCCTGCACGTACATTGACCAAGGATCATCATGGTCATCCTCTCATGGCCATCAGATTGGTGTAGTGGCCATTTGGCATACTGAAGCGTGAGGGCATATGGTGTGCCACCTTTAGAAACCTGCACCTGAATATATTAAGAAAAATGGAAACAAGCTTTTGGGGGACCTTGGAATCGAACCCAGGTCCCAATGATGAACAAACACCTCACCAACCACTAGGCCACTGCATTGCATTTGATATAATAATAACAATTAATTATAAAATGTGAAAACCAATGCCTATGCTGGAAAGCAAAACGCGCGCATAATTATTTGAATGGACCAAACATATGCGTCCACGTCCTTCGTCTTCTTCATTTTCCCTGCAACATAAAATCAAATAGCAGGGGTTTTAAACCCCCACAAACTGCAACTATCAAAAATAGCGAATAGAAATGGGTGCAAGATAAATTGAGCGCGAGGGTAGTTTTGAGTTCGTCTTGTCCTTCTGAGTTCAACCATGGGTCTTTCCAAGCCTAATTTTTCCTATATGAGAAACCCCTAATTCAAAAGCTTGAAAACCCTAAATCTTATCCATGGTGGTTTCGGTTTCAAAGTGTTTCAAGACAATTGAACCACACCATTAGCTTCGTATAGGTCCTGTGAACACAAAACACTCAACAAAACTTATCAAATATGCATGAATCAATGTATGTGATTATAAAAAAAATTGACAAACCGTGGGTCTGTGTAGCACGTGTTCTTGAGCTTTGAGGCTTGCTTTTAATTGAAATGTGTTCCTGGCAATGCTACCAATGTATTAGAGTCCTTAAATCGCTTTGAAAAGGCCTGGAGTACCAAGATCAGTTTTGACTTTTTTTGCTTGATTTTTTGAATATGGTTGGGGTGTTTCTGCAGCAGCTTATGCATGTGAGGCTTTAGGTTCTTGTTATGCACATATAGTAGAACTGATTTAGGTTAAAATTTGAATCAAGGATCCATGGAATTGATGTTTGGAGATTCCCCTTAACCACCATTGAAAGCTTTCCATACTTGGAGCAAAAACCATGATTTTGTGCTCAAAATAGCTTGGCACGAAATTGGTAATTGGCATATGCTGTATGAAAGCCATTCAAACCACAAGATACCATTCCTTTAATTTTTTTTGATTTTTTTTGAATTATTATGGATTAAAATGAATTAAATCCACAAAAATTAAATAAAAATGAAAAAATAAATGTTTGGTCTTGAAATTGATCATGGGACACGTGGGTGGCATGAAAAGGCTGAATCAAGTGGAAGAAAGTGGGCCCTTTTGCCAAAAATTGAAGTTTCAAGGATAGTTGACTTTTGCCATTTCACAAAAATTTCCCAACTTCTCCAATGCATATCTTGCTCAATTTTGATCATATGAACATGTTCTTGGCATTTCGGAAAGGTCTTGAAGTCCTTTAACCAATGCCTTTGGTCCCATGTCATTTGAATTTACCAATCTCAAGTTATGGTCTTTGACTTAAAATGCCTTTTTGTTGACTTTTGAAAATGACCTATAATGTTGAAATTGATAACTTTTTGTGAGAGAATTTCTTGGACTTGGAATGTGAAGATGAGTTGTAGGAAATGTCCTCCCCTTCAAAATGAGCATTGGATGGGATTTTTCTGATGAACCATGAAAAAGTTATGCCTTGGTCAAGTTACAGTTGACTTTTCAGTTGTCCAAAAATGGAAACTTTTGCATCTTGATGATTTTTGAGCCATGCTTGTGGAATCATGATCAAGACTTGATCAAATTATGATTGTGGCTTCAAAATAAGATGTTGACCAAAATTTTTGACTTTTGACTGCCAAATGACCATTTTGCCCCTGCAGTTGATTGTGAAGCAATTAGGGTTTTTGACTGTGCAACTTGACCTTGTGAGCCTTGAAACTTGGCATGTAGATGCTTGACAATGTGTATAGGCCTATGGAACTTGATTGAGCCCTTGAAAACCTCAACTTCCTTGCAAGAAACAAAACCCTAATTTTGACTGGCTTATGAGGATGGTTTGACTGTGCAACCCTTGAGTAGACTTGAGCAAATTGAGATGATGCTTGTCAAAACTTTGAAGAATATGGGAGGGCAAATTTTGGGGTACAACACTACGCTATTACAATATTTAGGGGATGGGGGTACATATGTACGAATGGGGACTGCAAGTAAAAATAAGTCCTAAGTTACTATTACAACCATATTGAAATGTACAATATAAGAAAGAAATGGACTTGTTTAGAAAATGTTTTTTTGTCTTAAGTTAATTAAATAATAAAAGAAAATATTTTTTATGTATTTTTAT